CCTCTGGAGCGATTTGTCAAACTTCCCATTCCACCGGCAGCGCGGTCCTCCTCCTCCTCCTCCTCCACCTCCTCCCCCTCCTGGCCTCCTCCTCCCCCCGCGCTCCTCCCTCCCCGCGCCTCCCTCGCCCGCCCTCCTTCTTCCCTCCGCACGTTCGGGGATCGCGGCGGAGCGCGGCGAGGGGGGGACGCGGAGAGCCGGGGCGCAGCAGCATCCTGCGGGCGGCCGCTCTCCGGGGGGGAGGCTGAGAGCAGGCCCGCCTCGCCCCCCCGCGGGCCCGCCGCCCCTCCCTCCCTCTCCTCAGCCCGGCAGCGGCGACGGCGGCGGCGGTGGCAGTCGCGGGAGAAGCATCATGCCGAGGAGGAAGCAGCAGGCGCCCCGGCGCGCAGCAGGTACGAGCCGCTTCTCCTTCCTCCTCCTCTCCTCCTCTTCCTCTCCTTGCCCCGCGCCTCTGGCCGCCGGCGGCCGCACTCCTCGCCCCTCTCCCTCCGCCGGCGCTGAGTAACTCCGGGCGCCGCTCTCTCGCTGTTCTCCTCTTTGGGTGCGCGCGTCCGCCTCGGGTGCCGGGCGCCCCCGGACGCCCCGCTGCGCTCTGCCCTCTTCCCTCGCGTGCCCACTTCGGGAACCGCGCTCGGGGCGGACTGAGCCGCACTGGGTCCCCGCCTCCCCCGCTCTCGGGCTGCAGAGTGGCTGGGAAAGAGCCCTTGTCTGTGTCTCTTTCTGTGAGGGGCGGGCGGGGTCACCTGAGTTCCCTGGGACACCTTCCGTGTCCTCCCGCGGCGGGTCGGCGGGGGACTGCCCGGTGTCTGCCTAACGTGAGACTGCGAGCGAGGGAACCGACCGGTCCTTTTGGTCACCTTACTCCTAATTCGATTGATTCTTCATTTATTGGGCCCAAAGGGGGCACAGTGGTGGAAACCAGAGCGCACAGGGTCTGGGTATTGTCAGATGACTGTCAAGTCAGTGTTCCTTCCATGCTGGCATTTCCTCCACCCCGTTTCTGTCCCCTTACCCCCCAGCCCCTCCTTACACTGCTTTTCCTTTCCTTATAGCACTTAGTTCTGGGACGTGTCTGAGTGTTCCTCCTCACCCTCCCCTTTTTTTCCAGGAGTGTCAACTCCTGTTAAGACCAAACTGATTTTTTTTTCTTTTCTGGAAAAAAGCATCATTGAAAATAAAACAAAACCCACACACATTATATTATTTTGCAATAATGTTGGTCGGGGGCATGTTGCCTGGAAGAAGGGTTTCTGGCCCATTGCCACCCTTGATTTGATGACTGATTGATCGCCTGTCATGCTGCTGCCTTTGATCTATTCATTCCCAATAAACATCAATAAATCACTTGCAATAGTGAGGCCAAGCTCTGTGACGTCAGGAGGGCCCTGTCAGTGCAACTTTGGGGATTTGGGGCAGATTGCCGGGTGGACCACATATGGACGTGATGTATTTTGATATGAGTAACACTCAGATGTGCAGAGGGTCAGATGCTGCCTGAAAGGGGTGGGTTACCCAGAGGTTCACTTCTTTTCTATCCTTTCCCTTCTCTTATTCTGATGGAAAAGAGAAGGCTCAGGCGTTGGTGCCCTGAGTGCCAGTGGTACCCGCAGTGATGGTGATTTCTGTCAGGCCAGTGAGCACCCCGGCCGGTGGAGCTCCCACCTTGGCTACACTCTGGACTCAAGTCTCTTTGCACAGGGTCACGGAAAGGGAATGTTGTTCTCTCTTCTTCCAGAAATGTGCTCGCCTGACAGTGTCTTCAGAAAACCTTAGCAGGAAAATAGACTTGGTTTGGTGCACAGAATTTAGGTTTTGCTCTGTATCCTCAGTGTTGCCCAAATTTAGAAAGTTTGAAAATCCCTGTAGTGCTTGTAGAGAGAGTGCGGCCTCCCAGCTCACCTCCTGATGTTTCCTGCTCATCCTACCTTCTGCTTTGAATTCCAAGCTCAAGTAGTGAGCTTATCTACCTAAAATAAACTCTAAAACTTTGGAGGAATCCTTCACAAAGTTGGGTAGTAGGAATGTCTTGGGCTTCTTCCAGTCTTCGAGTTTTTTTTTTTTTTTTTCTTTTCATTTTTGGATACACTTTGTAAGGTATCTGGGTGCCTCAATCAGACGAACCATATGTGATTACATCTTTCCATTTGGTTTAGAACTCTTTCTACAGTTCATATTTTCTCCTCCACCCTGCCCATCTGAGACTTACTGGACGACTTTCTCCCGCAATGATTAGAGAAGGAGCAAATGTACAGTTGGCCTTATTTTTATTTTTTAAAGCAACCTGTTCACTAACCTTTTTTGCACCTTTTAAAAGGCCAGCCAGGAAATCTCAGGTCAGTTAAGAAAAATTCATTATATAAAAACTTGACTGCACGACTAATAGGAGATGGAAGAATGGTTTTGCTCTATCAAAATGACCCGTCAGAACGACTTTGTTTCATATTTGATTTAATTGTCTCTCTCCTGACAGGCACATTCATCAATAGCTTAATGGTCAATCAGAAGTTGGCAGCGTGAGTGCTTTCTTTCTTTCCCATACCCTGGTTTTGGATTTACTTTATCAGAATGCCTCTGCCTAATGGACATGTGGAGGAGGGGGTGGAGAATGACTGAAGGGCTACTTATTTGAGGAGAGTGGAAGGAAAAAAGAAACTTCCACGTTTAAGCTGGCGATAAGTATGCACAAGCCAATAAGTGAGCTGTGTGAGTTTGTTTGTTTGTTTGTTTGTTTGGATGGATGAGAAACTTCCCATTCCCGCCCCCCCCTTTTAGTTCTCACAGCTGCAAGTTATAAGGTTCATGCCTGCTTTTGTGGCATACTGGGAGTGATGACAAATTGATTGCTTTGTACTGATAGAGAGAGAGTGGGAAAAAGAAAGATGTCTGCTGATTGGTAACTGGAAATCCAGTCCCCAGAAACCTTGAGAATACTCGAGAATTTTTTTTCCCCTCCAAACTGAAAGGTCCGCTCAGCCATAAAAAAAGAAAAGTTGTTTTGCCAGCTTCATTAGTGTTCACCTAATTAGCTGTAAACCTGATGGATTCCTGACAGCTTTAATGATTGGAGATGACAAGCTCGACGCAGTGTCATCCAGCAGAATTAGGTTTGCAGCTAGTTTGATGTAATCAAGTTGATATTACACAGTCCTGGCTGCCTTTAGTTGTGCATTAACTCAATTTTCTGCTGCAGGTGACAAATGGGCTTTGGTACCTGGATAATCATGTCATAGGAATTAGGGCCCTTTTAATGGTCTGGGGTAGAATAACAACCACAAAGGGCCGAGCTGGGTAGTGCTTGCAGTCAGCACACAGGTGCACGCAGCCATTCTATCTAGGCCAAATGTAGCACTGCTCTGCGGAAGGCCGAGGCAGGCTCCAAGAATCCCTCAAAAGACGGCTTTCGGTACTTTAGGATTTTTTTAAATTTTGATACACATTATACATGGTTTAGTATCTTTTTTGAGAGAGAGGTTTATTTACCT